CCCACCACCCGCCTCTCTCGATTTGAGGTTTCCTGTTTAGGTGCTGTTCCGGTAAAGATATTGAGCGCTGGGGGACGAGCGATGCGGAAGGGAATGCAAACAGCTCTCTAAGTGAAGGGGCGGGCGCTGGGCGGGCGCGGGGAGGGCCGCCGAGGGCCGCCGGGGCCCGCCTGAGTGTGCACGGTTTGGCGCGGTGGGGTCCAACTCACCCCACAACATCAACCAAGGATTGAGACGGAGTTGCGAGGACGAGCAGTATGGCGGAGGAGGAAACGGAGCTGCTGCTGTTTAGCCGCCGAGCTGCTGCTTGCCCTAAGACCATTGCGGAGGACGACTTGGGGGTAAGAGGATGTGTCGGAGGGAGGCGGGGTTGCGGGATAGTAGCTGGGGGTGGACGGTTGAGGGGGAAGGGTCGAGAGTGGGTCAGGCTGAGAACGAAGAGTAAAAGGGGGAGGGTGAGAAATGGCCTGTACCTACGGACAAAACGGTTCACCCGCGAATAAAAAATGTGGCAACACACTCAACTGCAGTGGCTTTGCCCCCACTACCCCCGTCGCCTCGCCCCGCCACTCCACGCCCCGCCACGCCCCGCCTGCGCTGCTGCAGGACTTAACGCCCAGCCGCGTCGGCTCCCGCGGGACAATTTCCGCCGGGGCGTGGAAATAAAAACAATCATTGTCGTTATTAAATTCACGCGCGAATGCGAGGGAGCTCCCGGGAGCATTTCCCCGCGGACACCCCGTTGAAAAGGTTCGCGTGGCCCGGCCCTTTTGATCCCCGTTTGGCCGGCGCGTCGCGGCGCGGGCGGCCCCGAGAGGTAGGTCGCCCCCTGTTCCGTCGGGAACGAATCATTTTGCCGTAGGGGGTGGCCGCGCGGGGGCTGGGTGGAGGCGGGCGGGGGTGGAAACTGGCGAAGGGCGGAAGGAGGAGGCGAGGACGGGAGGGGCGGGGATCGAAGTCGGAGGAGGCGCTCAAGGGTGAAGCAATATGCCACCCTTCCGGGAAGCCCTACAACATGCCACTCGCCAACAGTTTGTTTGCACAGCCCTGGCCGCCCCGGCCGCGGTGGTTCGCGGGGCTGGCGGGGCCTGGCAGCCTTGCAGGGGAGGGGTAATTAATTAAAAGAAATTATCGCGGAGCGGGAAGGGATTTAGCGGTATGAGGGAGGGCCGGGGGAAAGGGGGGGCGGGGGGATGAAGCGGATATGTGTTTTTGATGTCGGGGAGGGAGTGGAAATGTTTACCATCTCATGACGCTCGGCGGAGCGCTCCCACCCCCGCCCCAGTGCCCGTGGCGAACAAAAACCGTGGGTCTGTGTGTGTTCATTTCCTTCAATTCCGGATGGCCTCGGGACCCCTTTGCGGAAGAAACGGACGGGCCGTCCGCGCGCTGGAAATATCAGGGAAAATTGCCCCTTTCCTGATTAAAATCTGTTTTGATCCTCCTCCTGCCCCTCCTCCTCTTCGCCGTCGAGCTCCTCTCTGCTCTCCGCTCTGCTCTCCTCGCCCTCGCGCGCCGGCATTTCTCTTCATTACCGGCTGAGAACAGCCTATTCATTCTCCCTCCGAGGAGCCCGTGGGACTCCCACAAGCTGCGCCCCTTTACCGGCCGGTCGGGGCAAGACATGGCACACGACCCACGACCCCGACAATGCCGCTTGTTGTGTATATACATTGCGTGTCGTTTCACGCCCTTTTGAAAAAATCACGGCTCGTTTTTTCCCCTCCGATTTCGGATCGAACGCTGGCAAAACCCTCCGCTGTTGGCCGGGCGGGGCTGCGTTGTCGCGGCCTTATGGCCACGGAGGCCTTCCCCATCGCGAGACTACCGCCCCGACGGCGGGCTCGCTCACCTCGGCGTCCTGAGTCCGCGCCGGCTGGATGTCCTCGGCGACGGGGAGCCTGTTCTGTGGCGTCACGCCATCGTCCTCGTCCGCCTCGAGCCTGGCAATCCCCGGCCTGGTCGCGTCCCTGGAGATGGTGCCCGCCAGCACGGCGGACGCCTCGCCGCCCTTATCCGGGTTGGGGGAGGACGCCGTGGCCGACGCCGACGTGGATGGCGACGAGGCCGCGGCCGACGCCGACGTGGATGGCGAAGAGGCCGCGGGGGCGGGGGCGGCGCCTGCGTTCGGGTCGTCGGCGAACCCGCCGAACCCGGGGTTGATCGGGTTCAGCGGGGGACGCCCTCCGCCGAGTCCACCGGGGGCCTGCGACAGAGAGGGGGCCATCAACCGCGAGCAACATAACAGCGCAGTAGGAAATAAACTCGCACCGCGCTGCTGCGCCGACGCCGCACCTGGTAGTATCCGTTGGGCCCGTAGCTCACGGACAGCGCCGTGTTCATGACCTTGCCGAACACGTTGAGACTGTGGCTGGCCGACAGCGACCCGCTGCTCGAGATGGCGCCGCCGAGGTGCAGCCCCGTCAGGAAGCCGATGCGGCCCAGGAGACGGCGGGGGGCTCGGCCCGGGCCTTCCGGGCCACGGACTAGGCGGCAGAGGACGACGTCGGGGTCCTCGCGGGTCGGCACGCACTCCACGGGCACCTCGATGGGGACTTCGACGGGCACCTCCGCACCTGCAACCACACCGGTGACTCACCAATGTTAATCCCCACATGCACTCTAGTATTGCGCAGGGCTCGACTCCGTCGTCGCCTCGCCGGCGGGGCGGCCGTCCCGTCGAGGGATATGGGATCCACCCGGCCCCGTCTGGTCCGTCCCGCGGCAGCCGTGAGCGGCCGGCGGCCGTGAGCCGCCCCGGGAGCCGTGGACTCACAGGAAGCGAGAAAGGCGGCGGAAAAGCCTGGGCGTGTGGCCCGTGAGGCCCAATACGACAGACGCCAGGATGACGCCAGGATGACGCCAGTCGACGGTCATGTTGCCGTAAACAGATCGCTCGGTGGCCACATACACACCGGGCAAATACGTACCGACACACACCCACGTACACCTGCACGGGCAGACTCAGAAAAACGCATTTTATGTTAAAAAAACAAATTTTCAACCAATGAAGTTTTAACTGTAAAAACATAATTTTTGTTTTTGCTGACGAAATAATTTATAGTCAAGCCCATGAAGCACTCCGGTACAGCTGAAATGCAGAGGAATGCTGGGGAAAAGAAAACGGAAGTCAACATTCTACAAAATCAGCATTGTTATTTTCATTTCACTGTGCATCTCGCTCTTTTTTCTCACGATGTGCCGCGCAGGTGTATTTCTGCGTATAGACGCTGTGAATCAGAGTGATTAAAGTTATTAGTGCCGATGGCAGAACATCGGCACCTTTCAAAAATTATTTAGATTTCCTGTTGCGCACAGGGCACTCGTAAGGTTTCTCATGACATTTACGGGGAACGCGAAGGCTACCACATCTGACTGCGTGCTCGTTACTCATCGCGCAGAGTCAACCCTTCCTCCGCACGTGCCGCCACCTAGCGTTGCCGCGCAGAACGTAGTTGGTAGTTTCAGGAACTAAACCGAACTAAACTTTGTTTCTCGCAACCCTGATTTGGACTCACTAAATGGCTCAATATGTTTCTAGGTGCAGCGGTGAAGACCCCCACTTAGGTTATGTGTTAAAACATGGCCTCGCAGAGTAGGGTGTTGTCATCCAGGTTGTCTAAGTTGAATGTGTTTTGATTCTTTTTAAAGCAAATTTTTGTAAAAATAATAATGATAGAAATTTCAATTTTTCCGTTTCCTACAATTTCACTACGAAACTTCCTGTATTGCCTCCTGTGCGGCCAACTCTTACCGGTCGCGGAGGGGTCCAGCACGGGGGCGGACGCGACGCGCGAGGCCGCGGCGGCCAGCAGCAGGACGCAGACGGAGGAGACTCCCATGGCGACTGGATGCGATCGACTGAATCGCGGTGGGCGTGCCGGTGGGGCCGAGACCGAGGGACCGAGGTGAAAGTGACGGGTCCGCGACAATTGCACCCTGATTATGGGAGCAGACATGCAGGCTGCGAGCCCCC